ACCACCCTCATGCTATTGATCTATTTGTTCATTTATCAGGAACTATTTGCAATGGGAAAATCATTTTAATTAATCTAAATCAATTGTTTATGTACAATTAGTTGTTCATGTTTTTTTATTATCTCCTGTATTTTTAGTTGTTCAAGTGCTCCATATCTGCTTGTCCTCTGTATATTGTAAGAGGGTGATAACAAGAGTGGATCTCTCAAGCTAATTAGGCTTGATACTTCACACCCTCCGATACAATTTATTTGGTCTGGTAAGGCCCTGAAGCATACTATAGTTACAAAATTGATCTTGGCTTTGTTTTCTATTCTTTTCGTAGCCATCAACTTGTCGGAATCATTCAAACAAAAGCAAAATCATTTGGCCTACAAGGAATAGTAAATGATAGAACATGCATGGTTCATGAATCCTGATAAGCGGCACCTATTATCAACCATTGCTGTTAAATTTGAGCATCAACCAGAAATAAGGTGACATTGCCAAAGTGCAGAGTTCTTCCAATTACTCTTTAATTACTTCTGGTCACGAACCATTTGGTTTTAAAGTGCGAAATATTGCATGGGATATCCCTTATGTAACTGTAACCGGAGAATATTTTGTCATATGAGTAGTTTTTATTATTCCAAACCATGCAATTAGAGGATTCAGAATTCCTCGCTAGGGAGACCCTGTTTATGTCCATGCTATCAATTCTCTTGCTATTAACGTCTAAGAGAACATCTCTTGCCGGAAGGGGTAGAGCTAGGAATTTTATTAATTGGGTCTGTAGTATCGTGCAGATCACTGATACTAGAAGGGCTTTGAGGCCACGATTATGTTGGAATTTGGTTTTACTTTTTGCGTTATATTTCCCATTTTCATCACAGGATTTCACTTCTATTACGCCTATTTTTTTAGCATGGCCTTTTATCTACTACATTTCATGTAGTAAATAATATTTCCGGCCAAAACGTCACCCCCTGCAGACATCTAATTAGAAGCTTGGAACATAGAAATAAGACTTACCCTTCAATAACTTAGTAGGTGTTAACATGTTTGGAAGCTACCTTCATGCATACAATAGAGATGAGGTACTCTGGTTTTTTCTTATCGAGTTGGCGTTAATGCATGATTAAGGTGGGGATGATGCCTGTAGTGGAACATGTTGTTGAAGAATTCTACACAGAGCTTCTTAAATGTGTACTGTTGTGACTCGGGGAAGTTTTAGTAGGACCTATGTTAATTTGTAGTCAAATTGCTTTTATATTTTGTGCTTATGTTTTATTATAGCTAGCACCAAACAATTATAGTGTTTATTAAGCGATTTCCTTCTGATTTTGTTGTTTTTGAAGATTTAGTACGTTCAACCTGATCCCGGCTAGGACACAGACCATTATGATGCATCAAGTATTGGATTGAGAAATCTGTACCATGTTGACCATATCTCTCCCAAATATGTGCAATGTTCATCAAAATAAAATGAATGGCTATATTGTTCTTTTTGAAATAGAATAGAAAGATGAAATGCCTTTATAACCTTCATATATATTCCTAAATCATCCTGCAAAATTAACTGAACATGACTAGGCACGGCCGAGCATCAGGAAATATGTAGTGAAATCGATTAACTAACACTCCAAGCATTCAGATACGCCAGCATAAAGCAATACGAGGTGGTCAGACGAACGAACAGGTGCGAACGGGGAATCATAGAACGCAAATTATGGACTCGAACCAATTCCATGAGTGATTATGCATCCGCCGCATCCAGATCTAGTGACAGGCAACACAAATCCGACGCCGAACCGATGGATTGGGCTGGCTAGCATCGCGTGATTTGGGGCCGGGTTCGTACCTCCGGCTGGAGCAGAGGCCCGCACCCGAGGTGGGTGATGAAACGATGATCGGGGAGCTTGCCGGACTCCGTCCGCGCCTAGGGCCGGCCGCCGGTGTCGTCGCCGCGTAGTGGGTATGGTGTGGGTCGGAAGGGAGGCGTCGCTTGGTTCGGGTGCGGTGCAGAGAGAGAGAGAGCCAGAGAGGGGAATGGAATGGGGGGAAAGTATCCTATACTCCAATGGATTGGGTGCTCCGGCTGCACCGTACGCAGCTCATCCATCAGATACAGAATACAAGGTTAGGATGAAACCCGAACGCCCCGCTCTTAGAATTTTGCCAAAAGGCGCCCCACATAAGCACAAAAGGCGCCCCCGTTACTTAGGTGTGCCACAGTTTGGAACAGAAAGAACAAAAAGCATCAGGGGCCTGGCGGCGGATCTCGCCGTGGGCTGCGCTGCCACACCGGTGGAACAAGCTCGCTGCAGTACGGACGTACTCTGCTCCGACGTCCAGCGGGAAACTCGCCCCACCTCTGCCCCGCCATTATCCACCTCGACGCAACCCCCTCCACAGCCACACACTCCTGCCTAGCTCCGCCATCTACCGACGCCGGAGAAGAGAACTCCGAGCCTTCAGGTATTCTTTTAGATGTTACGAATTTGTGTTACTATTATGTGTTTTGGATCTAATCATTTGTTCCCTTTATACTGATTTTTGGAGTTGTAGCCAATCGTATCTTGAGTAGATGTCTTTCTGTATCTTGGCGCGGCAAACTTAGTCAGAGAAATTGCTATATTTTGCTTAGACTGCATATTCTAGCAATTATGTATAGTAAAAATTTCAGAAACTTATGGCCTGGTAGTGTACATGAGTGAAGTAATTTTATCTACTTGTTCAAGTCCTGAACATGAAGTGCTTGTTGGCACAAGTTGTGATATTCTGCTTGAAGGCACAGCCGCACAAGACTGAGATTCATTAACACTTGCAATATGTTCCTACAGGTGTGATAAAATGGCATTTTATTCCTACAGATCTCACTTTGTGGTGATATCATGCTATGTGTCCATGGCAAAAAGGCTATGCTATATTATGCTGCTGTACTCAAGACCATTTTCACAAGCACTCCTTTTCTTTTCCTTAGTTCATCTAAATGCCAATGCATTCCATATACATTATCATTCTTCGCTACTTTAGCATGGGATTATTGTTTTCTTAGACTTCGATGTGCTACAGCTCTCATGACAATCTAACTCTTAGTTGTTGCTGGATGTAATATCTAAAAATTATTTCTGCACGGAGCATGGAAGGATGGAGTCAATGGCAAGCATTGCTTCAAGTGTCGGATCATCTACAATGAATGGGACCTGAAGATGATGCCAACAACTTTTCCATGGTATTTATTTGTCATATTACGCCAGAATTTAAATAGTATGTCTTTCATCAGCTTTTAGTAATGCACTTTGTTTTCTTCTTTGCAGAGCAAGCAGTATCCAAAAAGTTTGAAGATAGATTATTCTATTTACTAAGTTGGCACTGGTAGCTCAAATGGTGTGTTTATATTTTGATCCTCTTTGATTAAAACATATTCAGAATTTGGAAGTCTTCGACTAAAACTTGTTTATTAGTAGCATCTAGATTTACAGCCCATGGGAGCGGACATTAGTTGGTGCAGTATATGTGTACCTGCTATACCTGATTTATTAGTAACATCTAGATTTGATCGTTGAAGTATGTGGTTGATGGCAGAATTATGTGTAATGTCATGAGCCCGATTCAGAAAGCATTCACGACATATTATTGCTGTAATATTAACTTCGCAATGTCAAGATGGATTAAAAAGGTGGTGGAATGCCAATGAATGATTGTTGATTGATCCTTTTGCAGTTTGACGTGTGTGTTTCATACACCCGACACTATAGTCTTCTCATTTGTCATGCAGGTTTCACCAATTAAAATCATGGTTAAATTCTTCTTTTACTTCAAATTAGTCGCACCTTGTTAAATCACTAAACATTTTGTTTTCATAATGTGCACTTCCTATGGAACATATGTTTCCTTTTGTATATCAGTTTGGAAATTTCATGCTGCTATCTGTACCATATTTATATGTAATGGACGATTGTAAAAGCTTCTTGGAGCTCCTGTGTCTCCTTCTGGAGTTTTAGGGTTTTTTTTTGGAATCAGTTTAAGGTTTTTGAATGTTTAGGACAACCAAATAGTGCCTTCCCAGCAGCCAGTGACAATTTTTTGTACACGCTCCTGCTCATATTGGAACTGAGCTTTGGAACCATTTATATTGGAAAGCTAGCTAACAAAGGAGTAGCTGAAGAAATGCTGGATATTATGAACAAAGCTAATGTGTCATGGTGATGCAAAGCTTTCTACATTAAGGTCCTTATAAAACTTTTCTATCTCTCTACACTGGAACATATGTTTTCATTTGTTTGGAGACAAAGTGAGCGCACATGTTGGCTAGAAATTATACATTCAGTTTATATTAATATATACTCCTTGCATAAATCACTTGTGCAAATTTTGCTCCAGAAAATGCTTGGAAACGAAACCTGTTCCAGAGATGCTCAGTCTTCTACTTACACTGGAACATGTCGACGGCCCAGGCACACCCCGAGCTGCCGTAACAGCATAGTTGTGTTTTTCTGTTCCAAACTGGAAGCAGCACATCCTGGAAACGTTCAGCTATTCTGTACTTACATGGGGTCCTTTTCGCAAAACTTCATAGGTGGGGAGTTTGGGCTCCATCGTGTCCCTGTATTCTGTATCTAGCGACTCTGCTGCGTACGGTGCAGCCGGAGCACAGAATTCACTGGAGTACAGGATACATTCCCATGGAATGGGTGAGGGAGGGGAGTGAGGCGTCAGGGGCGACGGCATTTGCCTTTTGGCTTTTGCGGCCTCCTCTATTTTTGGGGCGGGTTTACGCAACGTATCCATTCATTTTCATGTGGAATACCACAAAATACGACAGAGGAAGAATTATCAGCGTGTGTTAATCGTGTCGACAACGTGATAGACGAAGTCATCACAAACGCCTCGTAGTCGATCAAAACATCTCTTCCCACTAAACGAATCATCGGAAATCCTAAAATAATTGCAACTTCCCAAAGCCAAAATGATTAAAATCTGCAAGCCCGAAGTCTGTAATTTCAGCCTCTATCGCATCAACGCTCAATATTTCTGAAACAAAACCCGGATACACAAGCCAAAAAGCTTTAGGAAACTAAGAACAGAGTCAAAACCACTCGGGCGTGTAACAAGCAATTGTACAACGAGACATCCCAGATATCATCATTACATTTTTGACTAGTGGTACTTCTCCAACAGGCACAAACACTGTCTGCTTACTTGGTTTTGATCAGCTTGTCGATGATGCTTTTCAGAGCCGGCGCACTGGCGCTGCACCTCTGGTCGGCGAAGCACGACCTCCCTTCCTCGGCTGCCTTGCACAGCTGCGGGTCCATCGGCACCTTGCCGAGGAAAGGGACCCCCATCTCATGGCACATCTTCTCTGCGCCACCCTTGCTGCTGTCAAACACCTCGCTGCAGGCCACGACCGACAAAAGCTCCGGAGCCTTCTCCTTGATGTAGTTCATCGCCCACTCCGTGGCGTCTGTCTCCCCTGCAGGACCTGGCTTTACGAACTTGAGGTCTGTGAATGCCTGCCTCAGGCCACTCATGTTCTCCACAACGCCCAGCACCGGCACACCCACCTTCTTGCAGAAATTGATTTCCTTCCTCACGTCAATAAGAGAGACTTGCTGAGGGGTCGTCACGATTATCGCGCCATCAACTTCGGTGGCTTGTAGGTACTGGACGATTGAGATGTGCTCATCTGATGTTCCAGGGGGTGCATCCACTACAAGGTAGTCAATCTCACCCCAGTCAACATCCTTGAGAAACTGTTTGATCAATCCGTTCTTGCGAGGACCCCTCCATATGACAGCATCATCTGGGTTAGGCAGCATAAACCCAATCGACATGACACCAAGGTTGGACTCAACATAGATTGGTGACCACCCAAGGTTGCTCTGATGAATATCCTGGCCTTCAAGGCCTAACATTTTCGGGATGCTAGGGCCACATATATCTATGTCAAGAAGGCCAACCTGATGGTCCATTTCAGCTAGGGCAAATGAGAGCTGGGCTGAAAATGTGCTCTTTCCAACACCTCCCTTTCCAGACAAAACCAGTATCTTGTGTTTCACAGTAGCCATCCGCTCAGCAATAGCAACCAAGTCTGAAAACACACAATACAATACTCTCATCAACATTTTTAGGCCACTTACAATGGAAGTAATAGAAGCAAAAGTACTAAGTGTATTTGCACACGCGTTAACCACCAATTATAACAAATGATTATCTAGCCTATAATAGATCAAGAACAAAAACTGGCATATGGTTATCTTAAGCACAAAACTGGAGCAAGCCCAAGACAAACAACAACAGTCAGTCAGTTGGCACCGATCAGGCAGGAAGCACACAGTCAGCTAAGAATACTGAACGAAGGAGCTACAACCCTCTGGTCCATTCCACATGTATCCTGAATAAAGCACATCTTATATGTCATAAACACCATCATCTATTAGTAAATGATTACTGGTCGAGAAATAAACACTGACTTGGGCTTGAGCATGGCTGGCGAGCCAAGCCCCGCTTTGGGCTTGAGCAAACATATCAAGAACACAAGATATATACCATGTCGGCCGAAGCAGGGATGGCTCGGGGCTAATTTGCACTGGTATTAATAGTTCGGCAGTGTAAAGTGGACTATTTTGGACTCAGAAATAAAAAAAATTAGACTACGCAAGAGTCAAAGGGGATAAAATGGACTTATTCATCAAACCATAAGGTCCTTTGGTTCATAGGGGTAGGAATATCACAGGAATAGGAAACTTGCATGAAATGAGATGTCATGCATCTCAAATCCTATGAATAGAAATAGGAAGAGAGATGTCCTTTGGTTTACATCATAGGAATTTTTCCATTGAGTCTAGGCTAATGTTTATTTTCCTATGAAATGTTAAGGATAGGAAGAATTCCTCCATAGGAATAGGATTCTAATCCTATAAACCAAAGGACAGTAAGGGAATTTTTCCTATAAAAATCCTATCCTATAGAATTCCTATAAAATTCCTCCAAACCAAAGGAGGCCTAAACAGGAATGAACCAATACTGAGCACACTAGTGCTTCATCATCAATCTAGAATTCTCAAACCTTCCAACATGTTCTACAAGAAAATGGGTCATTTCAATTGTACGCTATTTTTTTATTATTGAAGAACATGTTACATCACTAAAGTTGAGTTCCAGCGGCCAACAAGCAGAAAGGGGAGTGTTAGCAGATGCACTGATTAAGGATAAGTTATCTTTGCTGACTCCAAAATATGAGCAGGAGCAGAAGAATAAGCCACAGATGCACAAGATGGAGATAGTTTCATCTTGGCTAATTCCCCAACACCACACTCGACAAAACGAACAAAAGAACACCAGCTAGAAGGATATTTAGAACCGAAAGCCAGAACTAGAACAAGATTAAAGAGGCAGGGTGATTTATTGGAGAAAAGCAGTGAGCAACGATTTGCCGGCATAGCAATCTTCCACAGATTCATTTGCCAGTATTTTGGCCATTGCCTTCTCAAAAGTACAGACAAGCGCATTACTCCTACCGCTACTTTGAGTCTTGTTATGAGACTTGTATGCGTAGTTATGCAGTATCCACAGCCAACTCTGTGGTTTGGACTGGAATGACTGTTACATCTTCTTTTCTAGAACACCATGACTATAACATTTTAATCAGTCATCTGTGGCCATACAAAATCAGTAAGCAACAACCTTGAATATGTTAAGGTTACATACATGGGTAACTACTGCAGAAGTACTAAAACTACCTAAACCGAGCTCAAGTATATTTCTTAAAAACAAGGAACAAATTATGGTAGTGATGCTGATTCGCCGACATCAGATAACATTACAAATAAATAGAATAGCGCATGAAAATCTCGGAGATGATCTGATTACCAGGATCGGGGCCCTTGGGGGCGGTGGCGCAAATCTGCTGGTTAGGGCACCCGGCGCAGGAATCGGCCTTCCCCGCCTCCTCCGACTGCGTTCCAGGGCAATCTAAGCAAGAAACACATAAATAATAAGCTCACAAGTCACCCCCTTCTTCCATGGCAGGACGACCTAGAAAACAGGAGAGCGCGGACGGCCAAATCGGCCCGAATCCAAAGAAGAAGGGGGAACACGGACGGTATAATCGAGACTTACGGGCGTTGGCGTCCTCCGGGACGTCGCCTTTGCTGCCGCCGTTCTCCATCTCTTCCGCTCCCTGCTCGCCCTCGCCGCCTCCTTCTCGAAGTTGCTCTCCTTGGACCGGGAAGGGGAACTGAGGATTTGAGAGGACCGCGTTAAAACCCCGGCCGACCAGGGAGGGTATCGGGCGTTGGATTCGGGCGATTTGATTATTTGCCACCGTTTACTTTGGGCTTTGGTATTTTGCCACAGATTACATTGTAATTGATCAGATGCCACCCCTTAGTTCGCACTTTGTTCTTTTGCCACTTGTGTACACAAAAATAATCTTTGCAAAGAAGAAACGACTTAAGTGCACAAAACAGCGGACACTTTTGCCCTTTTACCTGTTTGACTAAAACACACAGTTTGCTCCCTCAATCGGGATGAACCCTAGCCCGTGCTCACTCCTGACACAGCCGCCACCGCTGTCGTCGCCCTGCTGCTCCCCGGAGGCCCCTGCTGCCCCGCCACCACCTCTCCCTCTTGCTCCTCTTGCGTCTCCTCGCCTCCCCCTGGTGCTCACGGCGTCTCCACGAGCTGCTCTTGCCGGCCGCCGCTGCTCCCCGTCTCAAAGTGCTGCTGCTAAAAGGATTAGTGGTGTTAACTAAGGACATAAACAGCGGCTGCACTAATCCCAATCCTGGCTTCTTGCTATGGGGCGCAACCCAGCCGGCCGCCGTCGCTCTGCGTGCTGGTCACCCTAACCCTAGGTCGCCGGGGAGAGGAGCGGGGGAGAAGAGCGGGAGAGAGGGACTCACCTCCTAGCTGGGATGTAGTAGCCGCCGCCGTCGAGTACCACCAGGGCTGCCGCCGTTGACGACCAATGGTGCCGAGTCACGTCCAGTAGCCGCCGCCGTCTCCTGTGCTGTGCGAGAGAAGGGGATGATAACGAGAACGACGACCGAAGCTCTCGAGCGATTCCTGGTCAATCGATTGGCAAGGGTATTTTGGTATTTTTTTGCGGGACCCACTTGCCAGAGGGCAAATTAGCAAAGTGCCAGGTAAAGGGTGTCATGGGATCAATTACAAAGTAAGGGATGGCAAATTATCAAAGTACAAAATAAGTAGTGGCAAAAAATCAAATTCCCCGTTGGATTCTGGTCCAACGGCTGGGAGGTTGGGTTTCAGTCGCTGCGCTGTTGGTTGTAGATAGCGTTGTCAAGGACAAATTTGCATCTCGTTGCTTCTCCTTCAAAAAAAATATTATGAGTGGTTGCTTCTTCAATTTTGTCTCCTCCTTCTCTCTTCGAGAGTGAACTTTTCGTAATTTTAATTTTAGCCCCTCGACGAAAATAAAGAAATAATAAGGGAAATGCAAAACGGTGCTCGAGCTCATCTGCTTCTGAAATCACAACCGAACAGTTGACTTGGGATAGGTGATCTGTAATGTATTTGACAGTGTATTCTTATTGTATTTTAAATTTTAGTGCCTGCCATGTGAAAACATTGATTATGGTGGAGTCCACTGAGCAAGCCATCACCTCAGTGCTGCCTTACTGCAGTTATTACAAATTTGGAACATTATTGGACAAATGCATACTTTCTGCTAGTGTTAGAGACCTGGGTTACATCTCTCTCCACAGCTTGACGTCTTTGGCGTTTTTTTGTTACTATATGAATTGGGACATGAGTAGACCATATCATAATTAAGAGCGAAGAGTTCTGACAGTACAATCTATTACTGGTTTCAAGGTAAACAAGGCTCATGCTTTTCACTATGAGACAGGCACAAATGCACAAATGACACTAATAAACCATGATTTACAAGCACATGCGCAAGTTTTGCAGCACATACCCAATACAGAAGATTAAAGAGGACAACCAAATTCAACATTCTTTGTAAAAGCTGTAAGCCTCATGTAGCACATTCGAGAGCACAATTTTGAGAACCATTTTGGCTAATCCAGTTAGCAGCACAAGCACACAATTAATGCCTCAACTAGCTGCCGCACAGTACAAGGGCCTTCTTCTGCATCGTCGAAATACAAATGTCTAGATCAATAAAGCATCAATCAACTAACCACAGTTTACACTTTTTCAGGACGATTAATTAAACAATGGCTTCTTAACAAGAAAAGAAAGAATGATCCACCACAGCAGAACTCTGAAAAATGATTTGCACCGCATAAACAAAACTAAATGATTAATAATGCACACATCAATTGATCATTCACGAAGACAAATTCTATAAAAAAGAAAACAGCATCAGTGATTGCAAACCAAAACAAGTTCTTGCATTAACAATAGATCTTCCAAGAATGAAATAAAACACAAGTAGTACTAGGCTACCAACAAAGAGAAGAAAATTTGGCATCAACCATCACTGCAAAAAAAAGACACATCCATGACATTTTGGGCCGAACAATTTTTTTTCTGTCATACTTATGACACTTCTATGACGATAATTATGACAAAACCCGATATCATCATAGATGTGGTGGGCTCCTACTTCTATGACAAAAAATCATGACAGAAAATGGTTTTTTCGTCCTGGGCGGGCCTGAGACGCACCTGCATGGCATTCTTTGGGCCATCCATGACGGAAAAAATCGTGGTAGAAGCGAGGGAGAGGAAAATATCGGGGAGTTCCCGGTTACGGTGGGTGGTCAGCGGCCAAGCGATGCGCGTTTCTCTTGTACACGTACGCGCGTGGGTGTGAGGCGTTGGGCTCTAACTGAACCCGAGCGTGGCGTTCGCCTACTGAACCCGAGTGATTGCACTAGCTACGTTACTGAACTCCGATGGATCCCTTGCTGTTAACTGAACCCGACCAAGCGATTCCTTCGCTACTGCTGCTAACTGAAGCCGATTGAACCTCCTACCTCTTGATAAACAGTGAGCATTGTTGGGGGTTGGATGTGTTGGAAATATGCCCTAGAGGCAATAATAAATTGGTTATTATTACTATATTTCCTTGTTCATAATTGTTTATTATCCATGCTATAATTGTATTGATAGGAAACTCAGATACATGTGT